GCGAACCGCCCCTTCTAGAAGGCACTAGAATGTGCAAACGCGCACGCGCAGCGGAGCGCTTTCTACCAACGGCCCCAGACGCTGACTTCCGCTCTACCTTCGCGCCCCTCTCATTCGCTCTCTAATTGGTAGAACGTGCGGGTCCCGCCCCCTTCCGCACCTCACTTCCTGCACGTTCACGCTTCTCGCCCCCTCCCCTATTTTCTTTCCCGCCGTGCCCCGCGGCGACGCCGAGGCTCGGTTGGGGGAAGGGAAGAGGTGGAGCGGCGTTCCCAGCAGCCCCTGCGGCACCGCTTGTGTCCGTTCCACGCCGTCGCTGCCGCCGCCTCGAGTGTGGCCGCCGCTCGGCCTGGGGACCGAGGAGCCTTTTGTCCGCGGTGAAGCCAGACGTGCACCCTGCCGCGAGAATGGAGGGGCCTTTGTCCGTGTTCGGGGACCGCAGCACTGGGGAGGCGATCCGCTCCCAGAACGGTAAGGGCCGGCAAGGCCTGGGTTGGGCCGACGCAGGGCGCACCCCCGCTCCCGCGGCGGGGTCGGTCCGTGTGTTTTCCTTCTCCCCCAAAGAAGGGTCTGGGGGTGGGGTGCGGGCCCTACCCGCGGGGGCTCGTAGTTTCTGGGCGGGGCTGCAGCTTCCCCTTCCGCCGGGAGGAACGGCGCGGGAGCGGCGGGTTGCGGATGCCCGGGCTCCGGGGCGGGCAAGCGAGTCCCGGCGCCACGTGCGGGCCGCGCCTGGGTCCCCTTTGGTTGCCCTGTGCCCCTTTTGTTCCGATTCCAACCTCGAGGAGCGTCTCTCAACCTCTAGGCCTCGTTTTAGGACCATTAACCAGAAAAGACTAGTTTCAACTGCTCCTTTTCCTGATGAGCAAATGGCCACGATTCGGACGACTTGCCCGTGGTACCCCACCTATCGCTGACAGCTTCTTGAAATAAAAATAGCCCGCGGAATTTTAGTTGGATGTTAGCATAAGCGATACTTGAGATGAATGTGCTCCAGTAAACACTGACACGAATTAAAGCATTTGTTGGTGAGCCTCTCTTGAGAGCGCTTACGCTTGGAGGCCATGGATGCCTGTCGATCTTACCGTTATTTGATTTTTGCTTTGGATGAATTTGCAATAAAGTCAGAACATGTAAGTGAGATCATGCGATACTTTTTTGATTCACTGTTGATTTTAGTAGGATTTGTTCAAAAAGAACAACTTGCTAGTTTCAGGAGGAAAAGACATGTATCTTTCTCTTTTTTCCTATATGAGGTGGCAGAACCCGAAATTATGATTAGATTACCTTTTTTAAGTGATTAGGACAGACGTGTAGATTTGGAAAATTCAGAGACTGTTGGATGTCATTTACTTTCTTGAAGCTGAAATTGTCCTTTGAAAAACTGGCTTTTTCTAATGTCATTATTTCATTTTTACAGTTATGGCTGCAGCTTCTATTGCCAATATTGTAAAAAGTTCTCTTGGACCAGTTGGCTTGGATAAAATGTTGGTGGATGATATTGGTGTAAGTACAGCTAGATGTTTGTTTCTTTAAATTAAAAAGGTAGATCTTAAATGTTTTATTATGTAAATTCTTTGTTTTTAATCACAGTGCTGGTATTGGAAGGTGTAGTAAAGGTGAATGTATGTCATAATGTGATTGTGTTGTGTAATAAAGGTGAATGTATGTCATAATGTGATTGTGTTAATTAGAGGATGTACTGTTTCTGTAGGTGATTGTGGTATGTGTTTTTTTCTTCCCTGTAAATTTCTTAGGATGTCACCATTACTAATGATGGTGCAACCATCCTGAAGTTACTGGAGGTTGAACACCCTGCAGCTAAAGTTCTTTGTGAGCTAGCTGATCTGCAAGACAAAGAAGTGGGAGATGGAACTACCTCCGTGGTAGGTAGTCACTTGGGAGATGGCTAAAGGCTAGCTTTCTTAAATCAAGCTTTCAGAAAGTAAACTATAGTAAATCATTTGCTTCTAAGTCAGAATTAAGTTACATAAGAGGGGGAAAATTTGTTTCTTGGGTAGTAATTCTGAAACAAAATCTAAAAAACTGATGGCTGTAACTAGTTCGCACAATTTAAGAAGAGAAGAAACTTAAGAGGTAATTTAATGTGATCCCCTCATTTAAGTTTTATTTTTCCAACCCCCTAATGACCTGAGACTTAAAAATTTCTAGCCGGGCCAGGCGTGGCTCAGCGGTTGAGCATCGACCTAGGATCCAGGAGATCACTGTTCAGTTTCTGGTCAGGGCACATTCCTGGTCTTTGGGCTGGATCCCCAGCAGGGGGCGTGCAGGAGGCAGCCAATCAGTGACTGTCTCTCTCTCATTGATGTTTCCATCTCTCTGAAATCAATGAAGATATATTTAATAAATAAAAAAATTCTAAAACCTTCCCTCTATAATTATCAAATGAAAAAATATCACCAGTTTATAAAAAGATGTTTTTTATATTTTAAATGCTGACAAGGCAGACTCATGAGTTCAAAATGGGAATGTGAGAAAGTCTATAAACGCGTAATCAGTAACATAAACTTGGAGAGCATCCAGCACATTGATGTAAAAACGCCGTTATTTGATGATGAACAAATAATTTGCTCTAAAGAAACTTTACTATGGGGGGAAATGTTTACATTTCTAAGTTAAACTACAAGCCGTGAAAGAATGAAATCTACCTCTTCTAAATAATAAAGATGGTCTTAAAATTATAATTTCCCCAAAAGGAGTATTTTTGAAGTCTTTTTAATTAAAAAATACTTTTTAATGTCCATAAGTGATTTTTTAAACCAAGTAATAAGCTAAAATAGTACAGGTCATTTGAGTAGTCAGACTCTTCATTTAGCCTCTGTTGGACACAATCTTTAAAGGTAATGGATATGTAATCCTTTACTATTGTACTGCAGAACTGGTTTATTAGCCAGAACATTCTTGTGACTCTATTTGGCCTTGGCCATTTGCATTAACCTCTTTCAGGTTTCTAATCAGTTACTCATTTCACTGCCATCACAATTCTGGTTACTAATATCTGGTCGTTTTGGTATTTTTACATATGTGTTGCACATATTGAATGTCAGACTAATATTACAGCAGTGAATGTTTTCCCAACAGGTTATTATTGCAGCAGAACTTCTGAAAAATGCCGATGAACTAGTCAAACAGAAAATTCATCCCACATCCGTTATTAGTGGCTATCGACTTGCTTGCAAGTAAGATTGTTTGCATTCAGAGAAAATTTTATTATTTGATATTATAATTGCAAACTGTGTTTAAATGTTTTCGTTAGTGATTACATCTTATTTTGAAAAGGTTAATATTTGAAGAAAGAAGTAGGACCAGTGTCTTTTCCCGTTTGACTACCACATTTTCTCCTAATAGATTTTAGTGGCTATGCTTATGGGATAGATTAAAACTGCCATGATCTGAAGAGGGGGGTTATTTGTGCCCTCCTTCTATATGAAATGGCTGAACAGAAAATTGGTGCCTATGACACTTTGACACTATGGTAAAACAGAAGTTTAAATGGTGAATTAATTTGTAACTCTCCCCTTCACCCCCCCCACTCTTTAAACAGGGAAGCAGTGCGTTACATCAGTGAAAATCTAATTATTAACACAGATGAACTTGGAAGAGATTGCCTGACTAATGCTGCTAAGACATCAATGTCATCAAAAATTATTGGGATGTATCCTTATGATGGTCCAATAAAGCTGTAGGCTTTTTTTTTTTTTTTAAAGAACGAACTTGTGTGTGTTTTCGTGCCAGGTGAAAGTTAATATGAAGTGTTTGTAGAAGTATTATGAATTGCATGTAGTGATAAATAGTACTCTAGCACTTTGGTGGTGTAAATAATGCTTGTTTCCTTGATGAGATTGGGAAAAGGAAGTGTCTTTGAATTACCCTTGATTTTCATGTTTACCTGTTGTCCATTCCAAGTCTCTTATTTTCCTTAACTGTTGCCTTAGAGATGGTGATTTCTTTGCTAATATGGTAGTAGATGCTGTACTTGCTATTAAATACACAGATGTAAGAGGCCAGCCTCGCTATCCAGTCAATTCCATTAATATTCTGAAAGCCCATGGGAGAAGTCAAATGGAGAGTATGCTCATCAATGGCTACGCACTCAACTGTGTCGTGGGATCCCAGGGTAAGGCTCCGGATTTGGTCACGTAACCAGGACTAGAGATTAAAATTAGCTTTTGTGGACAGCATACTATTGTCTTCAGATGAACTGTCCAAGCTGTGCACTTACTGTTACTTAAGGAATTGTACATCTGGTTGTCACTTTTCTCTTTAGTAACTTAAGCACAAACTTAGGAAAAATGCAAGTTAGAAGAAAGTACATGTGTTTAATACCATAAAAATGTGTGTGTAAGAAAACATAACAAAATCAAAATTTGTGTTTACATATAATATTAATCTCTGTGTTATCCTCTTATGCTTGATGGCTGGGTGTATGTTATAAAATGTAGCATTATCAGTAGTTACTGTAAAAGAACTTTATATTATGTTCAATTATAGGCATGCCCAAGAGAATAGTTAATGCAAAAATTGCTTGCCTTGACTTCAGCCTGCAGAAAACAAAAATGAAGCTTGGTGTACAGGTGGTTATTACAGACCCTGAGAAACTGGACCAGATCAGACAGAGGTATGTTGACATTATTTTTGACCTCTGAGAAGAGTTGTTTCTAAATTACACTTCTTTTAGAGCAGACAGTAAACTAAAAAAGAATGAGTGCTATAGTTAATGTATTTCCTCAGATAAGCAGTAGGGGAACCAAGCAGTATACTGTGTGCCTACTGTATGCCTGGCAAGTTCTGGGGGGTACAGATGGTGGTACTTATTAGCATGCTAGAGACCTAGTCAAATAGAAGTTTTTAATGGTTGGTCAGTTAGGTTTTTTTTGTTTTTAATTAGCTGAACCAAATCTACAAGAAATATTTGCCAAGAGTCAGGAATGTTCTCATCTTTCCAATCTAACTGCACATATCTCTTTCCTCCTTCCTGATAAAACAGAAAGTGTCCTTCCATCAAACTCCAGTCCCCCTACAATAAATGTTCCAGATTCCGTGTACCTTCTGCCTTAGAGCCTTGCAGTTGATAGTTCTTTCTCATCTGCGTCTTCAACTACTAATTCTACTCTTCATTCCTTTCTAGATTTCACTTGTAGCCCACACGTTTTGCTCCAGTTCCTCCCTATCTTCCCCATCTCTTTGCAGCCAGATGTCTTAAGAGTGATTTACACAAAAACTGTTTTCTGGCCCTTTATTTCTCATTCCTTTTACAGTTCTGTTCTCCAATGGAGGGCCACTTGCTTAGGTCACTGGTGACTAAGTGAAATTCACTGGACACATTCAACGTTCACTTGACTTTTATCGAGCCTTTGCTGCTTTCTTGAAACGCTTGGGGAGGCCCTGTGATACTGCCTCACCTGTATTCCTGTGCCTGGACGGCTACCGCCTCACTGCTCGCCCCAGGATAACTCCATTCTGTGACTTCACTTCTTATTTGGGAGACTTCCAAATCTATTTCTCTGAGCTCCAAACACACGTTTTTGTGTAGTTAAATATTGTTTAAAACTAAACTTGTGTCCCTAGCCAGTTTTGCTCAGTGGTTAGTCTGTCAGCTCGCTGACCATAGGCTCCCAGGCTCGATTCCAGCTAAGGGCACGTACCTCCGTTGCAGGCTCTATCCCCGGCGCTCGTCAGAGCATGTGAGGGAGGCAACCCATCGATGTGTCTCTCTCACATCAATGTTTCTCGCTCTCCCTTCCACTCTAGAAAAGCAATGGAAAAAATATCCTCAGATAAGGTTAAAACAAAACAAAAAGTCTGAACTGTGGTGACACACCCCAGATCCGTTGTTGGCTATTTTAGTATGAGAACCCCCTACTCAGGCAGAAAACTAGAAAGTATCTTTAACACTTTTTTTTTTCTTTTAACCTAATAACTTTTTCCCTCCTAATTTTTCACCTAGATCGTCTGATTTCTTTTGTTTGTTTGTTTAATATATCTTTATTGATTTCAGAGAGAGGAAGGGAGAGGGAGAGAAACATCAATGACAAGAGAGTCATTGATTGGCTGCCCCCTGCAAGCCCCCGCCTGAGGATGGAGCCTGCAACCCTGGCATGTGCCCTGATCGGGAATCAAACCGTGATCTCCTGGATTCTAGGTCGATGTGCAACCACTGAGCCACGCCCGGCTGGGCTAGACCATCTGATTTCTATCTTCAAATTCATCTGTTTGCCATTTGCATTCTCTGACTATGGCAGAGGCACCCACACTAGTCATCTGGAGCTCACTCTCATCCCCTCCTAGCTACTTCCAGGGCAGCTAAGTTGGTCTCATCACTTCTAAGGCCAGAGCCTTTTTAATACCCTACATATCCTTTTCACTGTGGTCCAACCACAACAGGGACTAGGATTCACCAAACTCTTCTTCCACAGGACCTAGAATGTTTCTCCCTCTGCCTGTAGCACGCTCTCTACTTACTTGTTTTAATTTTTTCCTTTTTAGGTGGTGTATCTCAAAGAAACTTTTTTTTTTAATATATCTATTTCAGAGAGAGGAAGGGAGAGGAGAGAGAGAGAGAAACATCAATGATGAGTCATTGATCAGCTGCCTCCTGCATGCACTTGACTGAGGATCGAGCCCGCAATTGATCAGGAATCGAACTGTGATCTCCTGGATCCTAGGTCGATGCTCAACTGCCGAGCCACGCCTGGCTGGGCAAAGAAGCTTCTCTTTATCCCTCAGTCTAAATTATCCTCTACCATGACTTTCTATACCTTGTCTTCCTGGGACTTACCACAGTTTCTGTGTGTTTGTATGACTTAGATTATAAGTTCTGAAGGAGGTAGAGTGTGAATGATCTCCTTGGCTTTGTAGCCATTTTTAGTAGTTCCTGGCAGACAGCACTTGTTCAGTATATACAAAGGGATTTATTTTGAGGTTAGTCTTTAATTCATTTCATTTTAAGAATTCTTTGAATGATCTTATCTACTGTTTCAATGATAAATGAAATGGCTTCATTTATCTATATATTGATTCTTTCCCATAGCTTGCTTGTGATTTCCGTACATGTCTGACCGCCTCCGGGCAGCGTCACCTGAATAACACAGCTGCATCAAACTCGTGTTGTTGAAAACTGAACTCTCCTTTCTCATCCTGCCTGCAACCTGTTAGTGTTTATTACTCCAGGAGTCAGTGGCTGAACCTGCCAAGTTTGATTTCTCTGTTCTGATCATCTGTATATCCTATTATTGCTTCCTTGCCTCAGTCTTCCACCTTTCCAGTGCAGTTTCCACACTGACATCAAGGGATCCTTTTGAAAAAACAGATTTGATAATGCTACTCTTGTTTAAAAGGATGACACAATCCAGACTCTTTAACAGCCCTACAGGGTTCTTTATTTTCTGGTCCCACCTGTAATTTCAACTCTGGAACCCTCTCAGCTCCAGACCTTCAAGCTTTCCTTGTCCTGTCTGCCAGGATGGATTTCCGTCTCCCATGTGCTCTTCATCTCTGCATTCCACTTGTGGTGGCTTTGGCCACTGAAAATGGTTGACAGTCTGCCTCCCTGCCAGGTCATCAAAGGCAGGGACACTTTCCTTTCTAATCACAGTTCTTAGTTAGGAACGCCAATGGGGGTGTGGGGCAGCTAAGTGGAAATTTTTAATCCCTGGAACTTTTATGTAAATTGGACTGATTTAAATTCTGCTCATAGAAGGAAAAGGGTGGTTAACGTAATTTAATCTGCAGTTCTGTGAAAAATACTGAATGGAACTTAAAGCTCTGTTATATAAAAAAACAAAGTAACTTTGGGTTACGACTCAAGTACTTTATCTGTAGGGAATCAGATATCAGCAAGGAGCGAATCCAGAAGATCCTGGCAACTGGAGCCAACGTTATTCTAACCACTGGTGGAATTGACGATATGTGTCTGAAGTATTTTGTGGAGGCTGGTGCAATGGCAGTTAGAAGAGTTTTAAAAAAGGACCTTAAACGCATTGCTAAAGCTTCTGGAGGTATGTTTGCCAACTCTCAGGTGTGACATTTCACGTTACTGTACATGACCATGTATGTCTCTGTACACTAGAGTCAGTACTAAGCAGTGTCAAAAACTTTTTCCTTTTTACTCCCTGTAATGATTTGTTACACAAATATATTTATAGTCATTTTTCATGTAACTGGAAAAGTTCTTTGGTTTTACTGAATTTCTTCATCTCAAAATGACAGTTCCATCTTAATGACAAAAAGATAGTTGCTTGTCTGATGCCTAACTGTAAACGTTAAACTTGTATTTGAGCATCACTTTTTCACAAATGTTTCTGAATCTAAGGATGTGAAAATATTCTTGGGAGGACAGTGTTTACAGATCTCTAATTACCTTCATAGCAATGATCCTGTCAACCCTGGCCAATTTGGAAGGTGAAGAAACCTTTGAGGCGTCAATGTTGGGACAGGCAGAAGAGGTGGTACAGGAGAGAATCTGTGATGATGAACTGATCCTGATCAAAAAGTAAGAGCTACTTTTTAAATTACAAAGCTATATAGATTTTATTAATAAAAATAGATTGCCTTCCCATTTATTTGCTGCTATAGTCTTTTCAATGACATGAGCAGTTATACGCGTGGGATAAAAGAACATTGGGCCATTGTCAATTGAGATGGGATGACCGTTTCATCTCTCCTGCATGCATGGTCTAGACATTGTGTCCATATTTCAAATGTCCTAATGTAAGCAGGATTTAATCAAATGTCTAAACTGAATTTCTATACAGACTTATAAAAGTATTGATTTGAGAATTTCACTTTATTTTTTTAATAGCACTAAGGCTCGTACATCTGCATCAATTATCTTACGTGGGGCAAATGATTTTATGTGTGATGAGATGGAGCGGTCTTTACACGATGCTCTTTGTGTGGTGAGGAGAGTTTTGGAGTCAAAATCTGTGGTTCCAGGTGGGGGTGCTGTAGAAGCTGCCCTTTCCATATACTTGGAAAACTACGCAACCAGCATGGTAAGAACGTCCAGAAACCTACTTTCTTTTCAAGCACATGAGAGATTGTCTCTAGCATTTTGTTAATACGCTTCATCTGAAACCTTAGCTGCTGCTGTGCATTTTAATTTTTTTGAAGACACCACCTTGTCTGTCTTCTTAGGGATCTCGGGAACAGCTTGCTATTGCAGAGTTTGCACGGTCCCTTCTTGTTATTCCGAACACACTGGCAGTTAATGCTGCCCAAGACTCCACTGATCTTGTTGCAAAGTTAAGAGCTTTCCATAATGAGGCTCAAGTTAACCCAGAACGTAAGAATCTAAAGTGGTAAGTATACAATTTCCCTGGGGTTTTTTTTGTTTTTCATTGTCATCTGTATGTCATATATATTGCGTTTTCTGGTGACTTAGCATCAATGTGTCTTAGGTAGCCCTGACCCCTCCTTGCCTCTTTGGGTAGTTAACCTACAGGACAATCCAGTAGAGGAAGAGGGGAGATTATTTTGGGGCAATCTATAACCATTTCTAAGCAACCCTTTTATAAGATAATAGTTTCTTTACTACCATCTAGTGCCTTTCTACAACTTTTTGCTAATTTTTGTTAATTCATAAAGAACTGCTTTAGTATTCAAAGGATAGGGTGGGTATGTGTTGTAAGAGGTCATTTAATAGATTTTTTCCCTAAATTTCAGGATTGGTCTTGATCTGGTTAATGGTAAACCTCGAGACAACAAGCAAGCAGGGGTGTTTGAACCAACTATAGTGAAAGTTAAGAGCTTGAAATTTGCAACAGAGGCTGCAATTACCATTCTTCGAATTGATGATCTTATTAAATTACATCCAGAAAGCAAAGATGATAAGCATGGAGGTTATGAAGATGCTGTTCACTCAGGAGCCCTGGATGACTGATCTGATTTATTTATAATAACACTGTAAGGTGCAGTTGTCTTATACCTCGCATGTTACACATTAAAGTACAAGCTGTCAAAGCCTTGGGTTCTTGTGAAGTGGAAGTGGCTTCCATCCTCACATTGGTCCTGACTTCACATATTGGTGCCTTATTAATTTTGAAAGAAATGAGGTTCAAATTTGTTAAGCAGGTTCACCCTCTCTGAACACACATTGCTATCCCCATCCCACCCCCAATGCACAGAGCAGCCACACCACGACGTGCACCCTCTCGCTCCATTGTGTGTAACAGGGTAACAAGAATCCGACAGCCAGATGCCCCGAGAGGATGGCCCAAGGCTATAGCTCCTCCTTCAGTGTTGACCTAAGGGGGGGAAACATCCATTATTCAGTAGATACAGGGTTAAAATCCTAAACTGTTACCTTTTTTTCTCTTAATGTTATACCAGTAAGCTACCCTCTTTAACTGTTTAGAAACTGATTTATACCCTTGTGACATCCACCTATCCTGACTACCTTCCCTTATTCCTTAAATTTTTTTTTAAAGCCCTGTTCCCTGTCTGAAGTAAGCTAATGCAGTTGAGGGGGTTTTGCCTTGAGATGCAACAAAATAAATGAACCCACAGTCCTAGCAGGAACTTACCTACTAGCCACCCATTACTACTATGTGGTCAATACCTGGGATATACTATGCAACTACATATGTGTGTTTTGCTGTTTATAGTCTTAAAACTGCATTGTGAATGTTCATTTGCAAGCTCTCCTCAGGCTGCTTGCTCAGCTTTACCTTCTCTGGGTTCAGTCCAAGTTCCTTAGCTATTGCAACCGAGAGGGCTGCAAAGGCTTCGTTGATTTCAAATACGTCCACATCCTCCAGTGACCAACCTGCTTTTGCAACCTGAAGGAAAGATTAATGGGAGAGACCAAAAAACTGGGCAGAAGCATTCTTCATTGTAGACAGTAAGAAGGAATATGTTACAATATTGAAGGACCCCTAAAAACTGCCATCTGGGGTTCCTACATCAGCCTAGTGATAGCACATTTTGCCTTGACACCAATTCTAAGAGGTTAAGGACAAAACCACCCTTGGAAATTCTAAACTGTCTTAAGTTTTGAACCAGTAATGTCTGTCGTGTGTAGGAGAGGTGACAGAGTATCAGTTCCCCTAAAGCACATGATCCAAAAGTTCTTGGCTGCCCTTTGTAGTAGGGAGAATAGGCAAGGGAATGAAAGAGCTCATTTAAAGCTAATTAGGCCCAGCCAGGCATGGCTCAGCGGTTGAGCATCAACCTACGATCCAGGCGATCAGGGTTCGATTCCCGGTCAGGGCACATGCCCGGTTGCGGGCTTGGTCAGTGACTCTCATCATTGATGTTTCTCTCTCTCTCCCTTTCCTCTCTCTCTGAAATCAATAAAGATATATTTTTAAAAATAAATAAATAAAGCTAATTGGAAGACTCATAAAAGGGAAACAAAGCAAATGAAACCTGATAGGAATAAACATGAAAACAAACTAAAGCTCAATCTTGCCATTTTGGAGTGGAAAGGAGCTAGGCAAAGTTTCAGAGGGCAGGGCTTCTAACATGGAACTGCAGGTTAGCAAAAGACGCTAACATACAGAATCAAACTCACAGCTTGCTTTATTGCTGGAATCGGTCCTATTCCCATAATGGAAGGCTCCACGCCTACTTGTGACCAGGAAACTATCTGTGCTAAAGGTATGAGCCCACGACGATCAGCTTCTGACTTCTTCATGAGAAGCACAGCTGCAGCACCATCATTTATTCCTGCAAAATACGACTTGATTTCTAATTTCAGTTGTGTACCTGTGTTTACTCTTAACATCTGAAGACTTGAGTTAAATTAACATATCTTGGCAAAGACGTGTGCCATATTTCAGACTTTACAGTATAATTTGAAATGGTAAGTTAGGAAATAAGACAATTGACCACAGAACATTCCAATGGGAGAAAGGAAAGATTAAAATAGTGGGGGAGGGGAGAGTAATGAAAATAGCCCCAACCTCATGGGGGTACTGACAGTTTGGTTTTGGAAAAGTGCAAAGAGGGGAGATAAACTGGTGTTCCCTGGTTTGCTCTGTCATCTCCGTCTAGTTGGGACATTGGTAAAGCAAATCCATTCAGTATATACAGGTTAAGTCTAATCAAATAGAACTACATTTTCCCCTAAAGCAGCTAAAACAAGGTTTTAGAATAATGGGTATAAATAGTTAATGAAATAAAAGAAAAAAGGTATTAACCTTGCAGACCTACCAGAAAATGGGATTCTCCAACTGCCCTTTGAAAAACCTAACCTGGCCCTGGCTGGGCAGCTCAGTTGGTTAGAACATCCCAGTATGTCAAGGCTGTGGGTTCGATCCCCAGTCGGGGCACATACAAGGAGCAACCACTGAATGCATCAATAAGTGGAACAACAAATTAATGTCTCTCTCCCCCCCACTTCCTCTCTCTCAAATAAAAAACGTGTTTAACCTGAAGCATTAGCTGCAGTGACTGTTCCTGTCCCGTCTGTAAGGAAGTGAGGCTTTAGTTTAGACAGGGCTTCCATGTTGCTCCCATGGCGAGGAAACTCATCTGTTTTAACTTCGGTAAGACCTGAGAAAAGAAATGATCTGAGATTAGAAGAGAGTGGCAGCACGTTTAGGAATGGTGGATTCCTCAGATCTGATTCATGAAGATTTGTATTTGGAAGGAAGGTTTATTAGAAAATACTTTGATTCCAGTAAAAGTACGCACTAATAAAAATTATTGTATGTTAAAACATTTTGTGAGCACTGTTGTCATGAGAGATTCTGAGGGTTTTCCATATCCATATCTGAGGAAGGCAGTTACAGAGAGTTCCTCGTGCAAATCAGCTATGGCCTGAGGCACGGGACTTGGCTGGTTACAGACTGGATTTGGGAGTGGGAACGCCAATCTCGTAAGGACTGGACATAAGGGAGATGTCAGTTAATCACTAACAGAACTTGACTGAAGCACTTGAATGCAAAGTGACCCATTAAGATCCACCCAAGAAATAAGAAATGCACACAGAAGCAACGGCGTAATGGATGTTCACTTCTGAGGAGAGTTAGCCTGTAAAAGGTCAGACGTTGCCTCACGACCCTGAGCCAGTGTAGACACTGGGACCAAGAGTATCTGAATGCTGGCACAGCTTCCCATGTTTCCTTACCATAGACATCACCCCACCCCCAAGCCTGATTCAGATGCATCCAGGGTACATCTTTCAGTTGCAACCTGAAAGACATAGCTAGGACACAGTTCATACACAGTCCAATATATATTACTCCTACTTTAAACACCCATGCTGATGTTTAAATCGTCATGATTTACATACCCACCTTTTCTAGAAGATACACACACTGGTACAATCTCTTTGTCAAAATGGCCAGCTTTCTGTGCGCGCTCTGTCCTGTTCTGGGACAGGACTGCAAACTTGTCCTGATCTTCTCTATTCACTTGCCATTTTTTGGCTACATTTTCAGCTGTGAAAAAATAGACAAAACATTTACAGGAACTGGCTTTTGGTATCTCAAGTTTTTCACATTTAAAAGAGCACGAAGCGCCCAACACCAGCAGACTCACTAGTGGGCTATGGTACAGTGCTTCTGCTGGCAATCTTGCCTCCCACTGGCAATGAATATGAAAATGCTGCAGTGACTTAAGAAGTCACATTTTCTTTCTTTGCTTCCTTCCTTCTCTTTTCCTTTTATATAATTTTAAACTTTTAGAAATTTCCTTTATGCAGATTTGCCAATTGTCTATTTTTGCCCCAATTGCTTTATCATTCTCTTTCTGAACCATCTGAAAGTTATAGATATCACGCTCCTTTATCCCTACATTTTAACAGTGTATATTTCCCCACAAATAAGGCCATTTTCTTATATAACCACAGCTTTAAAAATCAGGAAATATAACATCAATACAATACTCTTATCTAATTCTTAATCCATATTCAGATTTCACTTATTGTCCCAATAGTTTTTTAAATACTTTTATTGATTTTTAGAGAAAGAGGGACACATCCATGTGAGAGTGAACCACAGATCAGCTGCCTGCTGCACACCCGCAACTAGGGTATGTCCCCTGACCTGAAGTTGAACCACTGACCTTTTGGTGCACAGGACAACACTCTACCACTGAGCCACAATGGCCAGGGTCCAATTACTTTCTTTATAGCTAATCTGTTCAATCCAGGATCCAATCCAGAATCATGCACTCCATTGTCAATTTCTTCACTTTCTTTTTATTTGAAAGAGTTCCTCAGACAACCTTTGTGTTTCTTAACCTTGGTATTATTGAAGATCAGGGGCCAGTTCTTTTGTCAAACATCCCTGACTTGGGTTTGTTTGTTGTTTCCTCAAGATTAGATTAAGATTTTTAACATTTGTAAACATGTCTTTAGCTATGCCTGCGTTACCTGTAATGCCCATGTGATAGTTGTGAAATGCATCTGTAAGCCCATCACAGAGAATACTGTCAGTCAGTGGTGTTTCCCCAATCCTGACTCCTGTCCTCAAGTGAACCAGGTGAGGAGCCTGGGAATAAGAATACAAGTGAATTTAGGCTTGGTTATAGCGGGTCCTCTCCCCCACTCCTACTATCCAGCAGTCCCCAAAAGCCCTCGTAACCCTCCCTCCCCAGTTCTGGCCCATTCTCCTCACCCGGGGTCCAGGACCTGGAAGCCCCTGGAATCAGCAGACCACTCCACCTGTCTACTCTTGGGAGCCTGTTACTCTCCTACCTACCCAATTCCATTTTCCATCAAACCTATCCTTTCATGTCCTATTTCCTTAAGAACCTCATTCTTTTTTTTTTTTTAATATATCTTTAGTGATTTCAGAGAGAGGAAGGAAGAGGGAGAAAGACAGAAACATTAATGATAAGAGAGTCGTTATTGATCGGCTGCCTCCTGCACGCCCCCGACTGGGGATTGAGCCCACAACCCGGGCATGTGCCCTGACTGGGAATCGAACCCTGATCTCCTGGATCCTAGGTCAATGCACAACTGCTAAGCCACGCCAGGCCAGGCTCATTCATTCTTTCCAAAGAGGCAACTAGTTATTTGTTAAATGAAGAGCTCATCTAAGGGCTTAAGTGATGCTAACAATGTTACTTATTTTTATGAGACATGTCTACAGTGAGAATAATCAGGTTGCCTAACTAACCAATGGGGAGGGATTTCTGGGTAGGACGCCCTCTTAACTCTTACCAACTCAACAGCAGCTATACTAGAATAGGACTTGGAGTCAGAAGACCTGCATTTGAATCCTGGCTCTGGGAGTCATTTTACTTACATGTAAATTAACAATGACACCGTCTACCCTGTAAGGGCTATTGTGACTGAGTGTATAAAAGCACCTCATAGAGTACAACACAGATATTAGTAGGGTCCCATCAGAATCACTCTATGTTTGCTACCTTCAGCCTGCCTCCTCCTGGGCCTCAGCAATGGCTGAGTTGAAGAGACCTCTGCTTAGCAATTCCCAAGGTCAGACCCTTGAACTGCCTACAGGAAGCAGGAAGATATACTTTTTCCTTTTTCATTGTGCCAGTTTGAGGGATGGAGCTTGGTGAAAACAAATCCCACCTAGCAAATTTATTAGAGAAGGGTACCTCTCAGTGGTCCCCTTTCCTATGTTCCATACCTCCCAGAGGTCAACAAAATTTGGTCCCTGGGGTCCTCTTTGTCATGTGCAGGAAGAAGTAGATGGCAACATCTGTCTTTGACTTTTCCTCACAATGAGAAATTGAAGACCAAGGATATCTACCAACTAATGTTATAGGTTTAATTCAGAAAATACTTTATGCTTCGTGAATACTTTAGGAAAACCATTCTGTTCTAATCACAGTGGTTGACAGGCTTTTTCTTCAATCCAAATTTCCCATCTAATTTGAAAAATATTTAAGATTCAGGTCAGGATCAAGGTTGAATCCACTTTTTGGTTTATTTGTTTACTGTCTGGTTCCAGCTCTAATGTAAATCTGTTTACGCTGCATGGACACAACGAATTTATCAGCAAGAGGGTTATGACAGCCATCTCTTCACAGGCCTTACCTTGCTCATATTTTCCATGCCTCCTGCAACCACAATGCTGGAGTCTCCTATCCCAATGGACTGGGCTGCAAGGCACACAGCTTTCAGGCCTGACCCACAAATCATCTGGCAGCTCCATGCTGGAACAGAGTAGGGGATCCCTGCACCCACACTGGCTTGTCGAACAGGATTCTGCCCACACCCTAGGAGAAGGAAGAGAGGCCTCTCAGCAATCAAAGAGAAAGACAAAATATTTGGGTGGAGGCACTATGCAAAATATTGCAACTGGATCTCCTGCTACTGCCAAGACAAGCTCTACCAGAGGCAAAAAGACCCATTACACTCTACATCTGTCTGAGTTTAGCCCTGAAATACGTATTATCTTGTGGTGTTCTAAAGATACTTACGAATATAAGCTTTCTTCTCCACAAAGTCATTAGTACCTTAAGAAGGAACTCTCTTCTTGACTTTTTGAAGGGCTTGAATAAGCACACACTCCCTTAAAAAGATAGGGCAGAACATGGGCATTGTTTATAGTTCTAGCTAGGCTCTGTAATTCCGTGATTGGCTAAGATACCTTAACCAGGGGAAAATAAGAGGGTTACTTAAACAGGAACATCTCTGATAAGAAGCACTTCTTTCCTTAATATGCACTAGGCCATGGCTAATTGGTTATGTAACAAGTTAGGTACAAAATGAGAACTGACAAATACCTTCCCAGAATTCAACTGTGAGGAGTTCCTTCAGGGAATGGGAAGAAATATATCACTCAATTTAATCAGAGTATCAGAGAAGGAGATGGAGTTGAAAGTTTTAGGTATTCTTAGTCACTGCTGTCTGTATTAAAGGGTGAGGGTTTATACAGTGGTCACTCTATTGCAAATTACTGATATCCCCACACTTAACAACTTTCCTTGGTGAGTTTGTTGGGGGGGGGGGTAACCTAGCAAATGGGTTATTGACAAAATGTTGCGATTATATTTATCACAGTGTTATTAATCTGGGGTGAGGCTGGACATGCAGAGTCAATGCAGGAAAAATGTTAAAAACACAGTATTAAAATATTCTCTGAATTAAACTCGTAAGACACTAGTTAATAAAGAATACAATATTATTTAAGGTTCCTGCTTTTTAAGCTACAATGAATTACATATGCATTTAAGTTCTTTACAAAAATTTTATGTATTTATTCATAATCTTTGTCTTCAGGTACTTAGTTAAGAAATGAGTGTTGAACATAATTAATTAGTAGTCTAGCATTTAGCAAAATATGAGCTGCATAAGAATGGTGATTTCTATCTTATGTGATCATTTATCTCTAGCTGATAGAATAGTACCTGGGAAATAGCAGGTGCTCAGTAAATATTTGTTATGTGATTGTGGACAGTACCTGGGCTTAAAGGCAGATGTGGGTTCAAGGGTCAGATCCTCTTCAAACTGTGACCCTGGATACGTTACTTAACCTCTCCAAATCTCATTTACTCATTTGTAAAATGGAGATTAAAAGATCCAATAGACTAAGAGAAGTAAATGAGGCAACGAAAGGAAAGCGCTAAGCACAGTGCTTTAACGGCCAGCACTAAGCAGGCCCTGAATAAACGTAGCTATATTTTTATTACATGTGGAGATACTGTAGAGGCGAGATGTGGAAAAGACAAGATAGAAACCAGTAGGTGAGAACCCTATGGCAACTGAGTAGGTCTGAGTCATGGGTCTGGAAAGGAGGGGTGGGACTGAGCAGCCAGTCAGGGCAGTACTCATATTTAAAGCCTCCCAATCATGAGAAATCGGCATGCTTCGACTTGGAGGCCCACAGGGACAAGTGGTGAAAGGAGGACTGGGAAAAGGAACTACACAGTAAATACACACAAAAATGGGCCAGTTATCAGCAAGGGTAGGTGCAGAAGTTGGTTGTCAGTGAGCATTACCAATTATCACTATAAATAATTAGGACTTATGCTACTGAATGAGCATGAGACAACTTACTGTTAACTAATTAGGAACTGGCAAGGACTGCTGGCCCATTAACCCCAGCGGGAATCAGAGGATTGCAGCGCTCTGGTGACTTACTGTGCCCATCCCCGGAGCGAGTCACCCCGTCTGAGGAGCGTGAGGCCAACCTGTCTTACCAGCTGGGGAGTGGGACCGGTGGGGACGGACCTCACCCGTGTGGCTGGAGCCCTGTCCCAAGCGCCCAGCACAGTGCGGCCCACGGAGGAATTCCATGGGCTTCTACTGAATGTGTGGCACCTGGGGAGTACGGAGGCTCCTGCACACTCAGCCAGGTGCCAGGCCGGCCCTGCTTCTAAGGAATGAAAAGGCGGGGAGGGTGGGCCAGGTTTCCTCGGGACTCAGCGGAAGTACATTCGAGGCGCTGAGCAGAGGGGCTGCTCCCCCCGGACGCGGCAGAGGGGCCGCGGGAGGACTCTGACCGAAGGAGCTCCGCGCACGAACGGGGCCAGAGCAGGAGCTGGCGGGGCAGGGGCGGCTGAGTGGCCGCTTCTAATCAACAGGACCCTCTGCGGGGTCTCCGAGGAGTTACCTGCTGCCAAAACGTGCCCCAACACGACCTCTGACACCTCTTCCGGGGCCACCGCCGCCCTCTTCAGGACTTCTTTGATGACAGTTGAGCCCAGGTCATGGACAGGGACGGTGGACAAGGCACCATTGAAGGAGCCTAGGAC